TTCAGTGCCCAGGCTGGCTGTGAACCACAATCCTCAGAGCTCAGCCTCCTGAGTAGCTAGGATTATAGATGTGAGTCACTGGTGCCCGGCTTACAATACTATTTTGAAATTATTTCTATATAATTTAACATAAATGTTGATGAGTCTCAATTATGTGAGTTGAGATCTTTGAGATGTAAGATGGGGTGCTTATTTTTGGCACACATGGAAAGATGAAAGTAGCTGAATCCCTAATGAATGTAATTGGAATCTCTTTTTTAATAAAATCCTAAGGATCAAATCAGATTTTCTAACATACTCTGATTGACTCTGTGAGTTTTATTTTGGCTCATCAGTTTATCCGTTTCCTGAAAAGTATTAAATATTTAGAAATGGAAATTTTAATAGAAAAAAGTTTGTAGTTCAGAAACTATCCTTTAGGTATAGCTTCCATTGAACTACTTTGATGTGAAAGTTACTAATATTAACATGGCCTTGGAGGTCTGTACTTCACATTAGTTATTGTTCTTGTTTGGTCTCACATGAAGTCAGGGTGGTCCCCAATGGCCAATGAAATGCAGAGAAAGCAATGTATAGCTTCTGAAGCCAACACCATAAATGGCCTCATAGATCTGCCTTGTCTTTTGAAACATTCAGTCTTGGACCCCTGAGAACAACATATGGAGTCTACGACACTGGAAAGATAGCATGAAGATTTCATGTAGAATGACTCCCAAATAGCACTCCCTCCCAGCTATTTGACTGGTCCCAGCCGAGGCTCTGGATGTAGTATGGAACACAGTTGAATTGGTACTCCCAAGTTGTGCTCAAAATGTAGATTCATGAGTACATTTTAGGCCATTTTAAGTTTCTGGTGATTTTGCAGCAATAGATAATTGAAAAAATACTCATCCCTTGCTGATTGCAGAGTGGGCAAAGATGTGCCAGGCCAAATGAGCATGGGAAAAATTTCAGCCTATGTTGCTGGGTCTATTGACTTATTGATACTATAGAGATATACTGCTTTGGGACTGTCTTTGAGAAGTGACTATGTGGTCAAGATATAGGGGATCTAGAACCATCTGGAGAGCTTGTGGGCAGGCACAAACCCACAACCTACCTTTTCAATCCAGATGGATATGGACATTAAGTTTGACACGAAGGGTAGCCTTCTATGGTAAAGAAATCACAGAGTGTACGTATCAGGAGAGGGTATTTAGGAGGAAGAGGCAGAAGGATCCAAGCAGAAGGCCTACCACTGCCAGACATTGTAGAATTATGCTGCAAGCAAGGCCTTTTTACAGAGCCTGTTCCTCACCTGATTTTGTAATCTGAAACTTAAGCTTGAAGTTGCTACAATTATTGATTAACCAGCAATCTATTTCACTATATCCCTTGAGAGTCTTAATTAGCATACAAAGGATCTGTAGCAAGCACTTGGCTTCAAAGCCAAGAAGAATTGAAGTTGTGTAGTAGCTGCCAGCTTTGTGAATGAGAAAACACAGAGCTGGTTTGGAAAAAGTAATGAGAATTCATGAGGGGGTGGGGCAAAAGAGGAAAAATATATGAGGGGGAAGGAGGGAGGGAGAGAAAACAGTAGGGCTAGCTCTGCTCATTGGCTTTCTACCCTTTCAAATTTTAGTTTTACTTTCTCATTTAATTTTGGATACATATTGAGATGGGAATTAACATAAAGAGGACTTGATCTCTTTAATTAAGGGGGGTGGGAATGGGAGGGCAAGGATGGTAAGGGGAAACAGGAGGAGGCAACAATGCTTGATAAGAAATGTAATCATTACCTTGCTCATGTAATTGTAACCCCTCTGTATGATATTTTCACAATAAAAAAACTTATTAATTAAAAAAATAATTCCTGAAAATATGAATGCTGTGTATAGGTTTGTTTCAGACTTGATTTCTTCATTAATGCCTATTACAAAAAAAATGGGAGTTTTCAAGATGGCCACAAATTGTATTCTTTGCTCATGATGAAGAACATTATCAACTATGGGAAAGAACTCCCATAGGAATCAGAAAACCAAAGTTACATATTTATCTGTGATGAATTAGAGGAGAATAAATAACTTTAAGAAGTTGCACTGTGTGTGTGTGTGTGTGTGTGTGTGTGTATATATACAGTCCTGGAGCTTGAACTGAGGGCTTGGGCACTGTCCCTGAGCTTCAGTTTGCTCAAGGATAGTGCCCTACCACTTGAGTCAGCACTACTTCTGGCTTTCTCTGAGTAGTTTATTGGAGATAAGAGTCTCTCAGACTTTCCTTCCCAGGCTGGCTTCAAGCCATGATTCTCAGATCTCAGCCTCCTGAGTAGTTACAATTACAGGGATGAGCCACCAGTGCTTAGCTCTGTCTTTTTCCTCCTAGTCCTGCTTAGTCACTTGCATTGTGACCACAGATATTCTCTGGATCTCTCTGAATCTCTGCTGCAGTATATAGTGATCAAATTTCAATATTCTACAAGTATAAAATGTCTAAAGGTGATAAAATCCCAATGTATCCTCCTATAGAAATTTCATCTCACTCTAAAGAAGAAAAGATTTTATTGCCTAATATCTGGAACTGCAATTTGCAGCAATTTCCAGTCCTGAAACACTGTACTTTTCTTCCTGGTTGTGCAATGGAGCACCAGAAGTGAAAAGGGGAACATTCTTTATTTTTGTCAGTCATGGGTCTTGAACTTGGGGCCTGGGTGCTGTCCCTGAGTTCTTTTGCTCAAGACTATTGCTCTATCACTTTGAGTCACCGCTTTCTCAGTTTTCTGGCAGTTAGTCTCATGGAGATTCCTGTCAGGGCTGCCTTTGAATCATGATCCTCAAATATCAGCCTCCTTAGTAAACAGGGGAACATTCTTTCCTTCTTTTTTGGGGGGAGGGGGGGTCCGGTTGTGGGGCCTGAACTCTGGGCCTGGGCACTGTCCCTCAGCTCTTCAGCTCAAGGCTAGTGCTCTATCACTTGAGCCACAGCGCCACTTCCGGCTTTTTTCATTTTGCTTATGTGGTGCTGAGGAATCGAACCCAGGGCCTCAGGCATGCAAGGCAAGCGCTCTACCACTGAGCCATCTTCCCAGCCCAAGGGGAACATTCTTAATGCTCAAAATAGAGTATTATTTAGGATTCACACTAGATGGGAATAAGCGTGAGAACATTAAAAAAATGAAGCTTAAATGCTCTTCATTCTGTATTATACAAAAATAACAAAATACTGTGCTGCAGAAACACCAATTTACCTTTTCTATTGCATAAAGAATACATTTGTGTTGTAACATTTGCTCCAGTAGAATAAACATTAATGGTTGGTGTAAATTTTTTTAATAGCCTCAGACAAACCTTATACCATACCACTTGCTTTGAACATATATGATTTGGAAATGGTATATCTTCCACTAGGCTACAACTAACTTGAGATTTTTTAATATTTTTTTTCAGTCATGGGACTTGAACTCTGGGCCTGGGTGCTATCCCTCAGCTCTTCAGCTCAAGGCTAGCCCTCTACCACTTGAGCCACAGAACCACTTCCGGTTTTCTGATGGTTTATTGGAGATAAGAGTTTCACAGCTTTTCCTTCCTCCGGCTAGCTTTGAAGATCTCAGTCCCCTGAGTAGCAAGGATTACAGGCGTGAGCCACCAGCACCTGGCTAATACATTTTTTTAATTGTAAAGATACTGTACAGAGGGGTTACAGTTACATGAGTAATGTAATGAGTACATTTCCTATCGAGCATTGTTACCCCTTCCTTTGTTTTTCCCCTACTATCCCTTCCCTCTCCACCTCCCCTCCCCAACTCCTCCCTCCAACCCCCCTACACTGAGGTGGTAAAGTTCGTTTTCAACATAGTGTCTTGTACCTCTAACTTGAGTTTTGAAAATCCCTTTGCTATAACTCTGTTCTCTCCCCTACTCTCTGGGAGGAGTAGGGAGAGGGAAAATTTATGTTATTCATTCATTTACCTGACAAACATTTTATTGAGCACACAGCATGGATTTGGGACAGGATAGGAAACTCAAAGTTACTTGCCCTTTACTATATGTTTACTATATGTTTTTTTGGTTCTGAGGAATCACAGTTCTAAGAGAAAGCAATAGAGAGAGTTATTCTGAATAAAATGTAACATATGCACTTATGAAATACCATGGTGAATTAATACACGGAGCAATTAATACACATTAAAATGAAAGGCAGGATAGTAAAACAGGCTCTGTTTGGAAGATAACTGCAGGAGGGGTTAGGTTAACAAAGGGGTGAATGAGGATGAATATGATTTAGTTTATTTGCGTGTATGAAAATAGAATAATGAATTGTTTTAAGAAGGGGAGAAGGGAGAGTGACAAAAAAGTATAGTTGATTCAGATACACGTGTACGTATGCAATGCAGAAATGTCATATTGGAACCAGACTTGTATAACTAATGTATGCTCATAAAATAAGTATAAAATCATATTACTAATATGAAGACGGTACCAATTAATTATTTGGCCAAGTATTTGTGCAATTTTAGATCGATAGTCAGAATTTTAAGAAAGTACAGAAGTAGATGAGACACGTTGTAGCTGAAGGTTTTGGAAGGGTGCCCAAGCCAGGAGATACAGTGTAAACTGGAGGGGTGATAGCTGGGAGGAGGACTTCAAGGCCATCTGGTATCAAAATGCATTTCTGTAACCTCATGACAGAAATCACAAAACATGTCGAATATTCAGCTAGACATTCTTTCCAGGACTATGGTTTAGAAACAGAGCCAGGGGCAAAGAGCCAAGATGATAAGTCCAACTTCTCACCTAGTTCCAGGAGGGGCGGAGCTAAGAGCTAGACATGACAGAACTGGGGCGGGGTCAGCCAAGCTTTCACTCCCGCTGAGCAGCCCCGCCTCTAAAAGCTGACGTAGAGTTAAGCGTGATTGGTGTAAGACTACGTAGGCCTCTGTTAGTGGATTACGCAGAGCAGCACTCTGGCTTTTGATTGGCTGTCTGGACGTTAAGCGATCATTGGTTGTCAGGGAGACCGATGAGAAAAGAAGAAGGGGTGTTAGGCCTGGCGGGCAAACCCAGGCTGCGGGCGGCTGGGAAGCTTAGCGGGGCTTTGTCGGGAAAACCGTGGGTTTGAGGTGCCCAGGGTTCACTACACACTTCTGGAAGTGTCTAATAGCGTGCGTCGATCAGCAGCACCCGCAAGCCAGGACCATGGGCTGCTTTTTCTCCAAGAGGCGGAAGGCTGGCAAAGAATCGCAGCCTGAGACTGAGGATGAGCGGCCCAGGCAGTACAGCTGGGACCACCGTGAGAAGGTAAACTCCTGTAGCTTCCCGTCCTAATTTCAGCCCTCTCTAGCTGCCCGGTGAGGCCCCTTATGGACCGGCGATCACTGAAGAAGCCCACTAACACTGCTTTTCTCTCCAACGCGAGTAGCTGAAGTTGGGGTACACGGCTTTGGGGGTGGGTAATTTTAGGGGACTTTGCAGTAATGAACGGGATCTTGTCCAGGTAGTTGAATCCTCTTGGAGGGTTTCCCTGGGTTCTGCACCCTCACTTGGGCTGACTTCCTGTCCGAGGATCGGGCAAGAGGAAGGGAGGGAGGGAGCCGAGAGAATGAGCTGGATCTCAAATCACCTTCTTTTCACACAGGCAGCGCTCAGCGGAGTTTGGTCCGGTGGTCGAGTTACACACACGGAACGATTCTCTTCTTTTCCGCCAGTTCTCTTCTGTGACTCTCTTTTGTCTACCTCCTTGGCAAATTTCTTTGGTGCCTCGTGGTCGTTTCCAATGCTCAATTTTCTCACTTGCTAAGTGGATTGTTCAATGTACACCTTTGCTATCCCTCCTCCAGTTTCTCGAAAGGAATAAGGAATCAAGTCTTAAAATGTGTGTTAAGGCTATATATAAAGTCGAATTACCCGGCATAAACCAAGCAATGTTTATTATTCCATTTTATGAATGAAAACACCCTTATTTTTACTTTTAGTCAGAAACTAAGTAGCCTTTTTTAAAACAGCCCATAGTCTTGCACAAAACACACTTAGTCATACATTTCATAATGGTTCCTCTTTCTACATAGTTCTTCAGTTGGGCTTTGTAAAAATTGGTTAGTAAAATAAGCACTTTTTACTTGCCGTTTACTTTTTTTGATAGACTTATCTATTGTTTTTCTCTTTCAAACAAAACTAGAGATTTATTTCCTAGCGAGTGCAAAGGAACAGTGAACTCTTGCTTAATGCAGTGTATCTGGAACCAAAAAAACCTTATTGTATTTGTTATCAATACTTTCATCCTGTAAACCTTCCTGCTTGAATTCCAAGCCCTAGCACACTTAATTTATGTAAACAATTTTCTACAAGTGTCAGATTTAACAAATTGGAAACTTTCTGCAGAATTCTTAGGCCTATCTGTCTCTGATTCTCAGCCCCTTCTTAGGTCATGTGAGATATTTAATCTCTCTTAGCCAAGCTTCAGAGCTTGTTTTTGTTTTTTGTTTTCTGGTTTTTTTTTTTTAAGTAAGAAAGGAAATGACTTGTTTACTGTTGTATTATATGAGATTGTACTTATCAAAGTTATTGAATGAGTTTTGAAAGATTTTATTTACTCAGCCTTAGGATTTCCGACAAAGCTCTTTAAACATGCATTGTCTGCCACAGAGAAAGTTCTGTTTTCATTTTTATTTTAGTTTTTGTTTTTAAAATCACAGGCTAAAGCTAAAGTGATTTTTAAAGCCTCTGATTCATTCATTGTTTCACAATAAATGGTCTTGTAGTTTGGAATTGTTCATGTTAATCTGTCTTTTAGATTAATGGATGTGTTGTTCTGTTATTTATTCTCTCTCTCGCTGACTAACTGGAAACATTGAAAAAAATACAGTACTTCAACACCAAGATTTTCTCCCCTAGATGAGTGTACAATAACCTTTCTACTATAAAGAGGGAACATTTTTGAAATTGCTACTAGGAACTGAAGTTGTAGAGACATAGCGGATGTTACTGAATAGGTTAAAAAAATCTCATGTTTCTAAGTGTGTGTATAATAACAGTTACAGTGTTTTTTTGTGTGTGTGTGATGCTCAGGATCAAACTCAGTGCTCTGTGCTAGGCAAGTGCTTTACATTGAGCTACATAGTCTAACATACACAGTTTTAAAGCTAGACCAGACAGTTACCATTCAACTTATAAAACTTTAGATATAAAGACAAAATGAAATTCCTTACAACTTGGAAAAGTAGTGTTTAAATATTTCTGATACGGTTTAAACAGAATAACTTTATTAAAGGGCATCCCTTGGGTTTTGGCTTCTCAGTTGAGTAATTGGGTCAGCCTTAGGGGACTGAAGGAAGGAGAAAAAGCCTCAATTAGAAAGAATGTTTGGGGACATGTGTTGTCATGGCAACTGATATACTGTTGTCAACAGTGGAAACAGTTCATTTTCTGTTGCTGCTGACTTCCAAAAGGAAAAGAACTTACTGTAAATTACTATCCTGACATGATGGGAAATGCATTTAGATGTTGAAATCATTGATGCAGGTATGGCTCAGGTGGTAGAGTACTTGAGTGCAAAACCCAGTACTGAAAAAGGGTTACTGTACTAAATCATTTGGAAAAATGCTCTTATCCTTGGTATTTATATTCTGCATTCATTAGTTAAAATTTTATTTAACACGTATATATTCAAATACCAAGGAAAATCCAAAATTATAGAACATATTCCAGCCCTCTAAGAGCTTACTGGAGTTTTAAAGATAAAGTAAGAAATTATTAGGCACCAGTACTCAACACCTATAATTAGCTACTTAGGAGGCTGAAATCTGAAGACCATGGTTAAAATCCAACTGGGCAGAAAAGTCTGCAGACTCCATTTCCAATTAACCAGCAAAATGTTGGATTGGCTCAAGGGGTAGCACAAGGCCCTGAATTAAGTCCTGGTACACACACACACACACACACACACTTAAGTTAACATGAAGTTCTTTATCCCAATACTCTTCCTCAACAATAGAAATGAGGATTCGTTCTCTAAATGATAGCTTGAGTGTAAAAGCTGTGATCTAAGTATGAAGGATACAATTATATTTTCTACATAATTGTATCTATGTCTCATACTTGAATTTTTATCTTATACTTTATAAGCATAACAGTTAACAAAAATCTTGTATTAGACATTTAATTGTCTATTGTTTAACTTTGGGTAAAGCCACAAATTTGTGCATTTCAGGTTCCTTGCCTATCAAGTGGGGCTGTGCTAAAGAATCCTTCACTGTTGAATAAGGTAAAGGCCTGTCCTGAAGAGAAGAGGTTAGACGGCCATGTTCATCTTCAAGGACAGAGCTTTACGCAGGTCATAGTTCCCAGAATTAGCTGGGTGTAGTGGTTCACACCCATAATCCTAGCTACTCAGGAGGCTGATATTTGGAGGATCAAATTTGAAGCCAGCCTGGACAGAAAAGTCTTTGAGACTTCATCTCCAATTAACCAGCAAAATGCCAGACTGGAGGCGTGGCTCAAGCAGTAGAACTCCAGCTATGATCGAAAAAGCCAAGCGAGAACACAAGGCCCTGAGTTCAAGCTCTGGCACAAAGAAATCCCAGAGTTGTTCATCAACAGAAGGGGTAACTTTGTGAAGAAATGATCTCTGTTAGAATATCCATAGGTTAAGACAGTAACCATTAGAATAAAAAAAAAAGTGTCTGCACTGAGAAGGAGGCTAGATGCTATATTAGTCTTCTTTTAAGTATGTAAGATAGTCTAGTTATCTGTTGTTGAATATTAAACCATCCCAAAACTTAATAGTGTAAAATAATGGCATATGTGGAAATGTAATGATGAAATACTCCCTGTATAACTAATGTCAGCTAATAAAAAACTGTGAAACAATGACAAGTATTTATTTTGTTCAGAACTCTACATTTTGTGTAAGGTTAAGCAAGGGTGACTGCTCAATATGGCATCAACTCTGGGCAGCTTACTTGGAGACTCAAGACCTTACCTTCAAGATGGCTTATCCACAGAGCTGGTTGGCAAGTGGATGCTAGCTTGGACTAAGTGCTATATGCTGTCCATGTAGCTGGGCCTTCTTACAGCCTAATGGCTAGGGTCCAAGGTCAAATGGCACCAGAGAGTTTGGCAGAAGCTGCACTAGCAGCTTCTTTATTACAAATAATAAATTTCATGATTTTATCGTAGATTTTCATGGAAGTCAAACTGTGAGATGAATTTTAAGAAAAAATTTTTTATTGCTGCTCAGCCAAAGAATAAGAGATTTACTTTTGTCTTCTGTTAGGAACATAATGCTTAACTTAGTTTAGTAACTTTAAGACGTTAAGTTAACACCACATGAATTCCAGCCCCTACATTTTTTTTTGTTTTGAAAGTATATCCATCACTTTTTAAGAATTGTAAGAAGTCCCCTGTGTAATCCTAGTTACTCAAAAGCCTGAGATCTAGAAGATAACAGTTTGAGGCCAGCCTGAGCAGAAAAGAGGGAAAAGTCCATCTCCAATGTAACCTGCAAAAAGCTGATTGTAGGCATGGCTGAAGGCCGAAAGCACGCCTCAAATAGTAGAGTGCTACTCTAGCAAAAACAAGGCCCTGAGTTCATATCCCTGTACCACACACACACACACACACACACACACACACACACACACACAATTTATAATAAAATATATATTAAAAAACTAAATATAGCCTAAACTAAACTCACTTCTTGTAATTTTAGACATTTTGAGAGTGAGAAACTTTTGCAAAGTTATGGATCTAAGCTTTAGATTGATTGTTATATTTTTGTTTTGAAGAACTCTAAGGAATTGTTGAGAAAGTAGAGCAACATAAATCTTGAGTTTCTCTTTTGAAGACTAGGTTGAAAATCCAAATAATTTTATAGTACAAAACTGTTAACCTTGGACTATTTTGATGTATGAGGAGTTTCTCCCTATGATCTAGGAAAACTGGGAATGTCCAGAGAAAATAAGAAGAATAGTAAATTACTAACTTCAGCACTGGCAGCTGTTAGGGAATGGATGTCAGATTCATATGTTAAAGATCTTAACCCCTCTATGGTTGGATTTGGAGATAAGCCTTCTAAGGAAATAGTTAAGATTAAATGAGGTCATAAGATGGGGCTCTGATCTGATAGAATTAGTGTCTGTATAAGAAGGCTAACCAGAGATTGAACACATACATAGAGGAAAGTCCTGGTGAAGACAAAGAGAAGACTTTTACAGTCAGAGCTAACACAGACTGCCATAACAAAATACCCCAGACTAGATAACTCAACAGAAGGTGTTTTCTCAGAGTTCTAGAGCCTG